TATTAAAATAATTATTCTTTTAATTTTCAACATTAATATATCAAAACCATTGAAAAACATCTAAAAACATTAATTTAATATTTTTTTTAAGTGAAATTAGTTTGATAAACATTTAAAAAAGCAGTTCAAAATATAAAAACAAACACCCCCTGTTGTTCTCGAATATAATCCTTAGAAAACAAGCAAATAGGTACTTATGTTAAGGGTAAGGAAGATGCTGTTCACGAGTCTCGTTGACTAGGCTTGAGTGATTATGATTAACATATTCCAGATTTTTTGTTGGTGGGAAGTGAGCAGGACGGTCCATGATTGAAGAGGCAAGCACGGCTGAAATGTGAGTTGAAGTTTATGATTGGATAGGCTAAGAGCCAACTTGTTGCCATGAATACTTGAGTGGGCACTTACACATTTGTTGCCATGTAAAAGCTGCTGCTGCTGCAGCAGTTTTCCTTTTTGATAAGCATTGTGACCTGGAATCCAGTAACTTGTAGTGATGAATCTTTGTGTCCATCTTCATAAGATGTCCCCGAGGGAAGGAATGTTCGAGGCCATGATGATAAATCCTGTGGAGTTCAGAGATATCTAGGTCGAGGAAGATTATTATATAATAATAATAATTATTATTATTGATTTTAGCTTAACCCCGACCATCATCATGTCACGCCGTCACGGGTCTACCCATTATGGGGTTTTTTTTCCCGTGCCTGTAGAATTCATGCTTGGATTGAAAAATGGAAAATGCACCATGATTTTCTCATCATCAGCTTGCACTACAAAAGTGCCACCTAGTTCAAGATAAAGGGCAATCCAGTGGAATAAGAACATTACCGTATTATATAATTATTATAATTGAAAGGTCTCATCTTGCGGGGATAGCTCAGTTGGGAGAAAATGCAATAAATATATGTGTTTATTAAATTAAGACATTTCAATTTATACTATGTCATATTTAATAGCATGATTATGATAAATATGACATATCCAATATATCAAATCTAAATTATTTGGACTTAATAATCAATTACACTGAAAACACTTAAACTTGATATTTTATTAAGTTTAAGATTATATGAATTTGACAAATATGTTAATCCAATACATTTAGGCTTGACAAATAATAAAGTTTAAATTAATAATAATTTTAGAAGAATAACTAACCTTTCTTGAATCTAATCTCAAAAAATAACTCAACCTCAATAGATTTGATTATATTTGATGTCTTGAAGCTTTAATCTCCCCCACGTCTTTTTAGGTATGTAAAAAAACTTTAAGGCCTTGTTATATTTTCATTTAACATTAACATAACATAAATGTAAAGAATATTTATTTTTTATTAAATATTATCAGGGTAATTACACTGCAATTCTTTCTTTTTATAAAATGGCAAAACTCATGAGTTGTAAATACATTATGAGACCTTTAGAATAAATATTCACAATATTCATTTTATATATATATATATTTCAAGCATCTCTCTTTGAAAATATTTCTATATTTTTTTAAAAAAATATATATTTATTTAAGTATTGGAGAGTTCCCGTTTCTAAAAAAAATAAATTTATACGTACCAGCCAGAAACAACCTTGATCTACTAAGAATTAGATACAAGTTATCAACTACCTTGACAAAGAAAAATGAAAGGGATTATTACAATCAATTGATTAATTAATTGTCCATCATGAAACCTTATTCTCATGTTAGCTAGATTTTTAAAACATCATCAGTTTCAAAAGTCCAACAATATATCTAACCAAGTATATTTAAAACAAAGATACAATACAATAATTAAATATCAAACACTATTTTTATCCTATAATACAACAACATATCAACACAATACAATAGAGCTTATCTATATAAAATTTAAATATATCTTTAAAAATACGTGTTTGTTGTATTGTTAATGTTGAATTTTTTATTTGTGTTTGGATCAAATGAGCACCTAAATGATTTTTCATGTACACATCTATACATATATAATAATAAAAAACCTTGATTAAAATGTCAATATAAGGAAAATTGATCAATCATTGCATATCATATACTAATATCTATATTCTAACATTACAAAAATTCTACGTCTCCTTCTCTGGCAATCAATGTTATTGGAAATATCCTTTGCTTAAATAAATATGAAGTATAAACATATAAGATGCGTAACATAAAGAAAAGGTTGCTATGATGGTATTAGTATTCAATACATGGTTACTTTTTTTAAATAATTATTTTTAATTTTAAGTCTACGTAAATAGCATCCAACAAGTATAGTATAAACACTTTTTATTTTTTAATAAATAAAAACTTTATTTTTTTAATTCTTGTTTAATCTCTCAAAAGAAATAATAAAAGCTTATAAATCCGAAGAAGCCAAAAGTGATGTACAAATATGAATATACAAAGAATATCGAAGCTAATATTTGTTATTTGTTATAAAAAATAAACTTGTTTTTTTAAAATTATTAACGTGTCAACTCCTAATCCAAGCTTGACCCAAGGAGAAGATGGAGACAAAAAAAAAACTACAACAACTCGATCCTTTTTTATTGAACTTGTAAATTGATCAGCGTGTATTTATCGAATAACGTAGATGAAAAAAATAAGGAGTTATTTCAAAAAAAAAGAAGAAAAGGAAAAGAAAACAATGGTTACTGATGCACAAAATAGAATTATTTATAGTGTAAGGTTTATTAGTGGTTGAATCATAGATTAGATAAGTGTATTTGTAAATAGTTTATTTTTTCAATTTTAAATTATACTTGCAAAAAATACTTTCACTTTTTGATTGTAAAATTAAAAACTTGATAGAGAAAGGAGATGATAAATACACTTAAAAAGCTTTAAATTCTAAGATTTTGGTTGTTATTGTGTTGAAATTGTATTTTTTAAATGTAAAAAGGCACTCACCTCCTATCTAGTAATTTAGTTTTGGCGAAGGAGGTATATGATAATTTATAATGCTTAACCTTTTTTTTTTTTAGTTTTGGTGAAGGAGGTATATGATAATTTTACCAATTGAATATTTATAAAAAATAAAATATCTTTACATAATTAATAGAGAATAATATATCTTCCATGAGCATTAATAAAGGAAAAAAAACACTCAATACATGTTATTAGGTTTAAAAAATATGCCAAAACACATTTTTATGCCACGATGAGATGATATACATATATAAAAATATTTATGGTGAAAGATAGTTTCTAAATAAGATATGAACTTGATAATGAGTTTCTTCTAACAAAAGAAGATTAATTTTTCACCATAAATATTTATGGTGAAAAATTAATCTTCTTTTGTTAGAAGAAACTCATTATCAAGTTCATATCTTATTTAGAAACTATTTTTAACCATAAATATTTTTATATATGTATATCATCTCATCGTGGGTTTTTAACACAACATCTTTATATAGATATATGTCTTATCTTAAATATCATTATCGAGTTTTTCAATAATAATAATTAATAAATACAATAATAACACACTAGTTTTTACATGTCTATTTTTTAATTAGTCTCCATATATCAGAAGAAACTCATTATCAAGTTCATATTTTATTCAGAAACTGTTCTTCACCGCAAACATTCTTGTGTATGTAAAATATGTTATATAAAGCATGTTTTGTGACCATGGTGATTTGATAGCACATAAAATAAAAAATATCATAAATACTATAACTATAAGAAGATTTTAAAAACACTTAATTTTATTAATTTATGTATCACCTATTAAAAAAATATAATCCTTTATATAGAAAAAAAAAAACTAGAGTCACAGTGATACAACCTTTATATAGAAAAAAAAAAAAAAAACTAGAGTCACAGTGATACTAAATAAAAAATGAATTAGAAAAACTATTCTCTTCAAGTGAAGAGAAACTAGAAAATTATAATAATGAATTAAAAACATTAATCTCAAAAATATTTATTTTCCAAAAAACCCAATACGCTGCTATGATATTATATTAAAAAAAAATTACACTGCATTAACCGAAACTGGAAATATATGTGTTTAATTGATAAAATTAAAAATATAGTACCTTATTTGACAGATTTGTAAAAATATTGGGCCAACTAGTGGGTTTTGCCAAATCCCTTGCATTTACAATTTTTCTGACATTTGCCAGTAGGGTCAGGGCATGTGCACATTGACAACCATAAAGCACGTGGACCTCCATGCCCAAACAAAACTTTATGCGCGTCTGCCCCACGTCCCATAAATTCACGTGGACAGAACATTAAACCTGTCAGAGGATACCCAAAAAAATATCTAGTACTCGATTCCCTTGTCTTAAGCCAAAAAAAAAAAAAAAAAAATCAACTTCATCATTACGGCACTATCAACAGTAAATTCGCCGTACCTAACATTCCTAAAACCAAAGTTATTAAACACGTCGTGATTCGAAGGTACGAGTTTCCTTGGATAATCTAATTAATTAATTAGGTATTGTTTGTTTTTATATTTTAAAAATATATTTTTTAAAAAATAATTTTTTAAATTTTTAATTAATATTACTTTGATATTTTAAAATTATTTTAAAATACTGATGTTGAAATTTATTTTTAAAAAAATAAAAAAAAATTATTATAAAACTTTTCTAAATAAAAAGTATTTTAAAAAACAAAATATTTATACTTTTAAATAGCAATAAAACACTGTTTTAATTTTTTTTTAATTTTAAACATGTTTTCAAAAGAACATCAATTCAGTTTTGATTAAATTAGTTATTTAAATCTAATCAAATTAATTTTCACTTAGGTTTTTTAAAACTTGGCTTAAAAAATATGATAGAGGTTAACCCATAATATATGACCTAATTTGGATACAACTTGTTCAAAAACTCATATCAACCCGTGAGTAAACTCAAACAGTATATTTTTTATTTTTCTAAAAAATAAAAGAAAATTGAATTGATACATACTCCTGCCTCGAGACTTGCTTGAATCGACCCGGTTTAAAAACCATGCTCAAAACCCAAATGAAAGAAAGAGATAAATAATTATTAACAACAAAAACTAAAGTAATTACATTCAATAATAATTATTAATTACCTAACATTTCTCGCGGGATAAAAGGGCTAAAGCTCTTACATTCCATATGTGATTTTTGGTCACCACCTTGACAAAAAAAGAAACTAACAGGACAACGGTACAGACAATTATCATTCAACCTTACATCAGCAAAACCAGGTTGGAGCTCCATTAAAGGACCCGGTATAGGTCCATACAAGTAATTCCCTCCTAATAAAAGCCTGGCAAATGGAGACATTCCGGATCCGGGTAAAAATGTTTTGACTGCGAATTGGGTCGGTATCATACCTGAAAATTTGTTGTTTTCAAGAGATAAAGCCGAGAGCTTTGGCATTAAACCCATGAAATAAGGCAGAAAACCTCGAAGTTCATTATTGCTTAAATCAATGGCTATTGCTTCACTTTTGAGAACTGTGGTTGATGGGAATGGTGGGGATTGTACGGACGTGAAAGAATTGAATGAGAGAGTGAGTTGTTGAATTGAAGGGTGAGCGAAGAGAGGTAGAGGGACTGAGTCGCTGAGATTGTTGTGACTCAAATCAAGTACTTGTAAAAGAGCCAAGTTTTTGAAGCTTCGAGGATCTAATTTGCCTTGTAAGCTATTGTTTCTCATTGAGATTTGAACTAAAGATGCTGGTAATGTTAATGGGACATTACCTGATATGGCATTGTCACTAGCATCTAAAAAGGAGAGATTTTTAAGAGAACCCAACTCGGGAAACTCACCACCTAGCTTGTTTGCTTGAATTTCGAGCCTTCTTAAACTAACAAGACCATTGAAACTTGCAGGAATAATGCCTTGAAGATTGTTGTTGTCCAGATATAGCTCTTCCAGTCTACTTAATGAGCCAATCGAGGTGGGTATCTCGCCAGAGAACATGTTTCTCGACAAACCAAGTCGACTCAGTTGAGTCAAGTTGGATACAGACTCGGGGATTTGGCCATAAAAAAAATTATTGGAAAGGTCGAGTGTTTGTAAATAAGGGAGGTTCCAAGAAATGGAAGCTAGCCAACCCGAGTAACCAGCCTGGTCAAGACTGAGCTCAGTGACTCTACTCGACTCGGACACTACAATGTCACACCTGAACCCACAAGTGAAACTCTCACTGAATAAATTATCACACGGATCAACGGTGAAGTCCCATGAACTCAAGCAAGAACCTGGATTAACTGAGTTTCGGTCCACCGCGTTCTTGACCTCCTTCAAAACCTCTATATCACCCCAAAATGTCTTCGACTCTGCTCCCACTAACATCTCAGTGACTGTAATGAGCAAAACTAGAGAACATGAAGCAAATTTGAGAGAGCCCATCTGTTGGTTTTTTGCTACAAGTGAATGTGAGAATTGAAAGTTTGATACTTGCAGCTAACAAGATAAGGGGATTATGTGGGAGAGATGGAGGGCGGGAGAAGAATGTAACAGAGTTAATCAAGACCGTTCATTAGGAGAATCAGAATCGAGAGGAGTCCTGCAAACTACAGAGCTGGGAAAGGAAGACAAGAAAGAAATGGCTTTTTTTGAGATGGACACTTGTGCCTTCTCTGGTGTGAGTGATCTTGTTTTTTGGGAGTGGCTTCACGGGGAACTTGTCAGAGCCTTCTTTAAATGCTTCCTTGTATTGAACTTCTATGGATGCGCGAATGCCTCGAGACAGAAAGAGTAATAAATGGTTTCCTTGGGTCATTTGTGATTCAGGAAATGTTTGTTGGGATCAAAGATGATAGAGAGAATTATATAATAAATCATATATTGTTGTCAGGTTTAATATTTGATTTTGATGTTGAATTAATTTTTTAATACAGTATTTAAATTTTATCTGTGAAAAAGTTATGAATATAAAATTTATTTTATTTGATAAAAATTAAATATAAAATAACATAAATTTATATAAATTTTAAATTTAAAGAATTTTTACTCAAAACAATATAATAAAAAATTTATATAAATCATATATTAGTATTTTACTTGATATCTTAAACTATTAAATGAGATAGTTTTTTAATAAAATTTTTTTATTTGAATCCTAACTTGATTAAAGATCTGAATTACAGATTAAATAAGTTGAATTGAGTTAAATTAAATTAATTAAAATATAATTATTTTGATTTTTATAAAAGTTAAGCTACATTCTTTACCATATTTATCTTCTCAGTTGATTGCATTAAACCAGGTTTTTTTTTCTTTTTCAACTCGGCCTTAGCTAAGGGTTGAGTCATTAGATATACTGAGCTGACCTAATTGTGGTTGGAAGCAGGGACGCTTTTGTTGATTCATATATTGCTTAAATTTACTTGTCCCAGCTTGAGCTGTCCTTGTTCTTCCTGTCATCATCCATGATTCCTTGAAGATAAGTTGGTAAATTGAATGGTGGGAACGAGGGAATGGCAGAAAATGAAAGAGAGAACATCATTCACTGTTTGTAAAAATGTTGGGGTCATTCGGAGCAGGGACAAAAATAATTTGAAATAAATTTATGGGCATGGAAAGTTTTTCACGAGCTGAGAACTTGGATTCTGTGGAGTACAGAACAAGGGCTTCACTTTTTGAAGTCCCATGTCACATGGGCGCAATTGTAATTGTTGATGTCTACCGCCATGAATTTTGCTTTCAATGGAGGTAAGGATGCATACCCTAGATTGCTATCAGAACCAGTGATCAGTTCTTAATCATGGAAGATTGCTCGGTGGTGGTTGTACTTGCTGTATAATTAGAATCGAATGCCAGCAGGTATGATATATATATATGATGCGGTGGCTGCAAGAACTCTCTCGAAAGGTGGTGGATGGCTAGGGAAATCTAGTCCCCTGTGCAGAAGTTGGTGGGTTATGTATGATGAAACAACTAGCTTTGCTGCCTAACTTTGAATCTCAACGTAACCTTCAAAGCCACGGATTTCTAGAACATGGATTCTCACTCATTGATACAACCACCATCAAATATTATAGCTTGAAGAATTCTTCATTGCTGAACGATCTTCTTGATTTTTTGGTTTTCATTTTCTAACATGGTTTCTTTGCTTTTTTTTTTTAATTAATATTAATGTTTAGATTAGTTTGCATGAACATCGATTAATTTCATGACTTTGAAGTTAATAAATATGTAAATTTTTAATGGCTCTAAAATTTATAAAACTCGAATTGATGATTTCTGGAGAGCAAACTTAAGATTTAATTAATTGAGTTACACCTCTTAAATTTTTTTTTTTTATTTTAGCCTAGAAGCACGACGATATTTATAAGATTGAATGAGATTTTAAAGTTAACGAACATGTAAATCTTTAATGACTCTGAAGCTTGTAGGGCTTGAACTGATAATCTTTAGGGAGCAAATTCAAAACAGCATTGAGAGTCCATGCTTGATTTTTAGGAAATAATTTTTAAAATTTTTTTTAAATTTTTTTTTATATTTATTTGTTATTGGAAAAATTGGTAAATGAAAAACAGTTTTCAGTCAATGGAAAATACTTTTCAGTCAAATAAAAATTTGGTTTGATTTTCAAGAAAATGTTTTTTTTTTTACTGTATTTGTTTTTCAGAAAGTGATTTCTAAAAAATCACTTTCCAAACTTTCTTGTGTTTGTTTACCGTTAGAAAAGTTGGTTAACGAAAAACACTTTCTAGTAAAAAAAAAATTGGCTTGGTTTTCAGGAAAGTATTTTTCTGAAAAATTTAGACGAAAAACACCTTCTGAAAATCGTGAAAAATTTTAAAATATAATTATTTGCTGATTATATCAAATTTGATCCTTAAACTTTTGATTGCTGTATATATTTTGTTTTGAATATTTATTTGCAATTTCTTCTCTTAAAATTTAATTTTTATATTAACTTTGGTCCATATTTTTATAATTGCTATGTGCTTTTTTCTTATTATTTTTTTATTAAAATTTTTTATCTATCAAATTTAGTCCTCACTAGTTACATGACCCGCGCGGTGCCGCGAGTCGATGATTTTTGTATAAAAAATATAAAAAAAAATTAAGATTTAAAAGTATTTCTTTTTGTAAAGCTATACCTAAGAGTTTTGAGTGTGACTGTAACGCCTGATCCAAAAGTAATATTTATAATACTAATAATAATATTAAACTTGCATGACCCAAGTTTAAGTAGGTTTGACTGTAATACCAAATCCAATAGTCTTGGATGTGAGTCTGACTGTAAGGTCATGTCATAAAAGTATGATAATTAAATAGATTAATTAAAAAAATCAAAAGGAAGAAAAAAATTAATGAAAAAAAAAGAAAAAAAATCTGAATTAACTGGATTAACCCTTCAAACCAGGTTAACTTGTCAAACCTTGAATTTATGTCATGAAAGTTTGATAACTAAATAGAAAAAAAAAATTGACGGTTTAACACAAAATTAACTGGGCTAACCCGTCAAACTCAGGATCCGTATCATGAAAATTTGATAACAAAATAGAAAAAAAATTGAAAATTAACAAACTAAATTAAACAAAAAAAATTAATTAAAAAGAAAAAAAACAAACAAAAAGACATCATCTTTTTCATTGTGGACTCCAGTGTGCAATCCACAGTTAAAGGCATAAAAACAGTAAAAAAAAAAAAAAAACTAAAGGCATCAGTCGATAACTAAATAGAAAAATTTTTAATATTAATGAACTAAATTAAATAAAAAAATATTAAATAAAAAGAAACAATAGAAGAAAAAAACTTATAAGAAGAAAAAAACTAATGAAGAAAAAAAAAACAAAATCTAAATTAACTGGGTTAACCCGTCAAACCTGAGATTTGTGTCATGAAAGTCTAATAACTAAACAGAAAAAAATTTAATATTAACAAACTAAATTAAAAAATTAATTAAAAATAAAAAAAACATCAGCCTTTTTACCATGGACTGCACTGTGCAGTCCACAGTGAAAGACATAAAAAGAAAAAGCAAAAAAAAAAAA